GCTATCATTAGTAGTGTTAGCACAAAATCACAAATCGTGACTGAGGGTTTGAGCATACTGGCCCTTTTTCAACCACTGATTATGAGAGAAATTGTAACTATGATCTGCTTAGCATAGATACAATATAAACTGCAGGTTGGTTCTGTAGGCATAGAAGAAAAATGTGCCTGAACCGGTACCAGCAACAGAGATAAGCTCACCACACCTAGCAGACAGGCATCACACCTCCCTTCCAGGAAATAAAAGTCTCACCTACAGTGAAAATCAAAACTGCAAATATGTTAAAAGTTGATTTTGTTGCAGAAATTTCAAATCATTCACTAATGGGAAAACTGTCTTCCTACTCAAGTTCTCCAAATTCAGTTTGTGCCAATTTCAGCTTATCTTAGTAAATGATTAAATTTTCACATTTTTTAAAAATTCCATTCAAAATAATAGATAAAAATAATTAACAAAATACCAACACTTTATTTGGAGAGGTTCTTGAGCCTTGGTTGAATATTAGTGTAAAAAATATAATTCATGAAATCTTGCAATACTTCATCGAATAACACCTTAATAGTAGTACTACTACTAATACGACTAGTATATGTAAACAGAAACATCTAAAATTAAGATGAAAGAAATCATACTTAAAAATTAATATTCACAATGCTTCTAATAAAAAGGCAAAATAATGTTATTACTACTAATACTGTTACTGTATGTAAACCTAAACATCTGAAATGAAGGTGAAAGAAATCCTAGTCAAAAATTCATATTAATACTTGACAATGCTTCATCTAATAAAATAGATAATATTACTGCTACTAATACTACTAGTATAACAAGATGGTCATTATTGTTCCATATTTTACTGTTTGATCTGATATAACAGGGTGTTATATATGGTTCAGTGTTTTACTGCATAAAAATGCCTAATTAGGATTTCAATCAGGAAATAATTAAGATTATACAGTTAAAAAAACTCCAGAAAGCTAAGTAATCATTGATTATTACTTTAATGTTCTGATGAAAATTAATTAAACATTGATTATTATTTTAACCTTTTCTTTCTTTCTTTATAGAAAAAAAGAAAAGTCAAAATAATAATTAGAAATCATAAAAGGGGTATGGAATATGCTCCAGGGATATTTTATTCTTAAATAAATCAAATAGAATTCATTAAGATTTAGCAAGACTAAATCTTTCCAAACCCACCCATTTGCCTCCAGGAAAAATATAACAAATATTTATTGTCTTCTAAAATTTACAAAGAATTCTTGCTATGTTTATGCAAAGTAGTATTAGTTACCAGATGTTAATTTTGTTACCAAAATTCAGACCAGGTGTTTAGCCTGATCTGTTATTGAAGATATCTAAAAACAAGCAATAAATCAATGTCGGAGGTGAGAGAACTTCCTTGTATAAACAAGGTAAGTGAAAACCAGAAACAGATGGGGCTAGTTAGACAGACATAAGAGGATAGGTTTATTCATAAACATCTCTTCCCACCTCCATACTACTGCTGTTGCTTCTGCCACTAATGAACCCACAAACACAAGCCCAGATATACAAGAATGCAGTACCAGGACAAATTATCATAAAATAATGGTAGAATATTTTTACTATCAAAAAGTCATCAACTAGGCTACATACAAAGATTAATAATTCTTTACTCATTATGTACTTTTAAATTCTTTGTTTTCATTAAACCTGTTATTTATCAACATAGTTTGTGCTGTGAAATTAGTTTTCAGCAGAGGCAAAGAAGTAATTTCACACCTTAAAACTCTGTAGAATCTGGTTACCTTCCAGCTTGTTGATGTCGTGTGACAAATTTTCAACACATCTACAAGGACTGAAAAGAAAAATGTTTTGGATACCTAGTCCATAATTTGGAAATGGTGCATGAGCAGACTGGCATGCCTAATATAACTAGTGAGCGATGGCCATACTAATACTAAACACATGAATTTGTAGTTGGCGAGAAGAATTTTGACTGGTGTTGTGGTAGCTACACAGAGAGAGAGAGATTGCATTTCAGTGTTTTACCAAAGAATGAAAAAGAAAATTCAAGTTAGCCTTGAAATGGATTGCTGGTATTAAAAGAAATCTTATTCTACCTGTTCTGATTTCTAACTTGTTTTTTCTTCAAGTGTTGATAAGATAGTGATGGTCACAAAGCACTGACCTAATCTGGCTTGCACCTTCCAGTCAGGTAGTTCAGGAGTAGTACACACCAGCCCTGAGTAGTGTATCTATTCTATAAAGTAAACTAAACATTTAAAATTAATATGAAAAAACAAAAAAATAATAAAGCCTGACAATGCTTTATCTAAAAATGCTAAGATAATCATCACCCATTCATAAGAAAACTAAGAAAGTTTAATTAATAATCAATATCATAGGTATAGCAAAAATGTGTGTACCTTATAAGAAAAGCCAAAAAAAGGAAAGAAAAAAATGCTAGTCACTGTTTTCTTATATCAAGACATTATGCTGTGTCTGAGGCTATCCTTGTGCCTCTTGTTTCATTTTTAGATAGTTCTGAGATGGTAAAAGTTTTACTTTTATGAGTTATTTATGCTGTCGTTCAGGAAATTGGCTGGTTTAAATGAAATATTAGGTACTTATTTATTAATGAATTAATTTCATATTGAATAGGTCATTATTTCAGAAATCCTTGTGGTAATATTTTTGGGGTGTCAGTTTTACCCCTCTTTTTTGATCTGTCAGTTGTATTTTAAATTTGGTGAAGGGTAAACAATACATTTTTTTTTATTTTACATTTTTTTTTAAATCTCTGTAAATGTTAACATGTAGCATCAAATCAAATGTAAACATACTGAAAATTTGTCCCAAACCTTGCCAAAAATGATTCAATAAAAGTAAAACTTTAATAATATTTTTTATTGAGAGGTTGTGCTTCTTTCAGATTCGACAGGGAAAAATCTACATTCAATATTTTTTAAAAATTACTTATATTTTTCATTTTCAGTGTGATTTTGAAATTCAGTAAGTTGCAGTTCATGTCAAATTCAGTGTTTGAAGATTTGAAAAATGCTAAGTTTAATCAATGCTATTTTCGAGTGTGAACATTTTTTAAAAAATCATTTATTTTGCAACGGTTAGAATTTTTTGTATGGGAGATCAGAAAGGAAATAATTCAGTAATTCTGTGAATTTTTAAAAACTCATTTGGTACAAGTAAATATTTTAAATATTTTATGACCTCAAATAAGAAAATAATCAAACAATAAAAATGATTTAAATTTAAAAGAATTTAATTTTTAATTAATCTAAATGTAGTATAAAAATAAAATTATTAATTCAAGTTTCATAGCCTAAAAGTTCTTAAAGTATTGATCATATAAGGTTAAAGATAATTTAATTTTTAAACATAAACAATACCAAGTTCTAGATTATAGTATTTTTAGTCATCCATACTCATTTTAATTTTATGCGCTTTTTTTAAAACTTGGAGATGAGTAGAAGACTGCTGTTTGTTAATCTATTTTTTCATGACGGCTCGCGGCCTATCATACGTATGTTATTTGCGCCATGTTTAACGCAAAAATGACAGATTGTTTTTACAAAATCCAGTTAATTTATCCTGAAATTTACTAATTTAATTTGAAATAAATCTCTGGCACAGATATTTAATTTTTAAATTTGTTGTTTTCATTTTTCGTCTATAATGGAAGTTCGATGAGTGACTAATCTTTAAAATGGTTTTTCTTTTTTTTTTTTACAGGTGAGCTTCAGGTAATTATCTTTCAAATAAAACCAAAATTTTGCTTCAAAAAGAACATTTAAAAAATTTAAATTACTTAAAAAGCGTTTTTAATTTTTCTTTCTTACTTTTTTTTTATTAAGGGCATAGTGGTACCTAACCTATGAATATCATAAACAAAAAAGAATTGCAGAAAAATTCAAAGTAAAAATTATTTTTTCATTATATAGAAACGGAGTTATTTGATTTTGAAATTCTTGTTCACTTTGTAAAGATAAAAATTTTTAAAAGTACAAAATATTCCGGATCAAAATGAAAATCTACTCAATTTTAAAAAATCTCTTGAAATTCAAGAAATTAAAATAAAATTACTGACATTTTTAGCATTTATTTATTTATTACTTAATTTACAAAAATAAAAAAGTTACATCGTAAATAAAAAATAAATCTATAGATTTTAAAATAAATTAAATTAATACCCATATTTAATTTTATGACATTTCTCAATATATTGGAATCAGAAATTTAGTGTTTCTTTTTTTTACGGTTTATGCGCGTTCTAAATTTAGTGCTTCAAAGAAGTTTTGCTTTCATCCAGATAAATATTATAATTTATTTTTAGCTAACAAAGCCTTAAAAATGTCAAATGAGAAAAAAATGAATAAATAATTTTTTGATTCAATTCTACTTTGATTTGATTTGCAAAGTTTAAAAATGGAAGGAAACAGGTTTAATTTTTTAATTTTATTTTATTTTTAAATTCACCTCGCATCGTCGCAAAAATGTGTCGCAACTTGAAGTCTAACTCTTCATATTTTCTGAACCTTATTTGCAAACATTGTCCCATCATATTATTTTAAAAAGCTACAATATGCTGATGAAGAAAAGTAAAAAACCAATAAAATCATCATAATAGTCAAGCCGGAAGAATAAATATTCACAAAATATGCCTCGGAGTTACTTTATTTTAGGGGTCATTTTTTATTAGATGAATTTACGAAATTAACTGAAAAAAAAAATCAATATGATAAATATAAGGTTAATGAAATTTAATCCACATTTATCGAACGAATTCATCCGAAATTCTTAAAACCGAAAAGAAGCCCCAAAATCCGTAATTTTTCCCTCCACACGTCTCGCAACGTGTCTGTTTGTGGCAGTAAAAACATCTCAACGCAATCCACTTTTGCCCCACATGATTTCTGTTGTTCACTGACTAATATTTCGGGGAGTTATTTGGCAACTTTAAATTACTTGGAATGTCAAAAAGAGCTGCAGATTCGCCTATGGACAACCGTAGGAAGCAGAAAAAAAACCGCCTGCCATTGTCGACGGCGCAAAAGATAGAATTATTACAGAAGCTCGATAGCGGTGTGTCAGTGATGAGGCTTACCGTGGAATACAGTATCGGAACTACCACCATATATGACTTAAAGAGACAGAGAGACCGGTTGTTAGAGTTTTATGCTGAAAACAACGACCGGAGATTGATGAGAAGTACAGAAAACCCGCCGAAAGCAAAAAATGATGATCTTGACCGCGTGTTGATCGAGTGGGTCCGTCAGCAAAAACGTGAACGCGTGCCTTTGACGAATTCAACTCTTATTAAACAAGCGAGAAAATACCACGAAGAACTGAACCTTCAAGGCGAGAGTGAATATTCAGAAGACTGGCTGCAGAAATTTAAGAAGCGTCATGATGTAAAATATTTGAAAATCGCGGACGAAACGAATAAGGTAGGTCAGCGAAGTAAGTAAAAATAGTAAATAAGACGTCTGTATCAGCTGTTCGTTGTTGATACAGACATGTAGTGTCTCTCAAACATCTGTTGTGAAGTGGTTTTGTTTTTATTTGCTTCTATTTTAATCTAAAAACTAAGACGACGTAATTTCTTACCGGTGCGATAAAAATTTTGTGGAAAGAAAATGTCCACGCGCCCGCTCCATTAGTTTAAAAATCTGGAGTTACCTCCCTTGTATCATTTTCTGTAATTAATTTGAAAATAGTAGTAGGCAAACTAGTTTGATTTATTTTTAAGCTTAACTTTTAAAATCTTCAATTGTAATTCTGTTCTTAGTTTACAATTATACCCTGTGAATAACTCTGATTTTAAACGTACATCAAAGCAACAAGCATTATTGTACTTATTAGCTAAATTAGCAAGGTCGAAATTAAAATTAGTAGCAAACTGGGCGACAAACGAGCAATCGACAATCGGATTGGTCGACACATAATTTCCGAGTTGACGCGTGCAATATGTAGTGTGAATTCTTGGTAGTTTTGTTTAAATCCCAATCGCTTTAATACCCCAAAATTCGATTCCTCCAATCATACCTATGGCTGAATTCGTAATTTCACAAAGGAACAAAGACAAACTTGTCTTCAAAGAATTTATTTACACAAGAGACAGAACACGGGGTATTAAAACATATTGGAAATGTAATCTCAGATCAATATGCAACGGCAGGGCCCTGTCAATCGACAGTGGCAACAAAATGAAAATTCGGATAACTCAGGAACATACACATCCACCCCGATACCAAGGAGTAGCTGTAGCAAAAACTGCTAAAACAACAACAAATCTGAAGCATAAGGTTCGTGCCCCACTCGGTTTACTTTAAAAGTTTAAACATAAAATTACAATACATTGACTTTTTTTTCTTTTCTATTCACTAACTAAAAATTATTGCATTGGTTATTTTTTTTATTCTATTTTTAAGCTTGAATGTGAGAATTGACCAGTTTTTATTTTAGGTCCGGAGCGTACAGAATAAAAAAAAAATAGTTCCCTTGTTCAGAGGAATCACCTATCTTCCCTCCGAGCAATATACAGTAAATCCCCTTGTTACGACAGTTCCAACCTACGATGATTCGTAGTTATAACACAATCTCCATTAATCTTGTTTCGACTTATGCTATTTGCCTCGTACATACGGCACAGCGGAAGAATACATGGTGCGGCGGAAGAATACGTCGTTATATGGCGCTAGAGTGAGGGAGGCAGCGTGGGTCACTTCCTGGTTGTGCGCCATATTGGATTGTTGTGCATTCACTTTACTTTCGTTATATTCGTTACATTCGTTACCATTATGGCTCCTAAGCGTAGTGTAACCACTTCTGATGGCAGTGCTGTGAAAAAAAGGAAAGCCATCACCATGGAAGTGAAATTAGACATTGTTAAACGTTCTGAAAAGGGAGAAACAGCAACAAACATTGGCCAGTTGCTTGACTTAAGTCGTTCAACTGTCGCAACCATTATCAAGGATAAAGATCGCATCCTTGAACATGTGAAAAGATCTGCTCCAATGAAATCCACTGTTATTACTAAACAGCGTAGTGGTCTCATTATTGAGATGGAAAGATTAGTGCTTTGGCTCGAAGACCAGAATCAACGGTGTATCCCTGTGAGTCTTATGATAATTCAGGAGAAGGCTAAACAATTGTTTGAGGCCTTGAAAAGTGAAAAAGGCGAAAAGAGTGAAAGTGAAGAGTTTGTGGCCAGTAGGGGTTGGTTTATGAGGTTTAAGGCTCGTGCTAATTTGAATAACCTTAAGGTGCAAGGTGAAGCTGCTAGTAATGATGAGAAAGCAGCAAGTGATTTTCCTAGAGTGTTGGCTGAAATAATTAGGGAAGGGGGTTACTTTGCTGAACAAGTGTTTAATGTGGATGAGACAGGCTTGTTCTGGAAGTACATTCCAAATCGTGCATACATTGCCAAAGAGGAAAAGACAGCACCAGGCCATAGAGTTGGCAAAGAGAGGCTTGCTTTGCTTCTTGGAGCTAATGCTGCTGGGGACTTCAAGCTGAGGCCCTTGCTAGTGCATCATGCTGAGAATCCAAGAGCATTCAAAGGTATTTGGAAAGACGAACTTCCTGTGATCTGGAAGGCTAACAAGAAGGCATGGGTGACACACAATATTTTTGAAGACTGGTTCACCAACCATTTTCTGGAAGAAGTTAAGACTTACCTTGCTTCCAAGGGTTTGCCCTTTAAGGTCTTGCTAGTGCTGGACAATGCTCCTGGTCATCCTGTGCATTTGGATGATTTTCATCAGGATGTCAAGGTGGTTTACCTTCCACCTAACACCACTGCCCTTTTGCAGCCTATGTACCAAGGTGTCATTGCCTCTTTCAAGGCCTATTACCTTCAAAAGACCATTGCTATGGCTTTAAGGGCAAGTGAGGAGGACAATAACTTGACACTCAAAGATTTCTGGAAGTCTTACAACATTCTTAATGGTGTAAAGAACATTGTTGATTCTTGGGATGAAGTTAAGCAGACAAACTTGAATGGTGTATGGAAGAAACTGTGTCCCCAGTTTGTGAATGATTTTTATGGCTTTGAGGAGACAGTTGAGGCAGTCACACAAAAAGTTGTTGCCCTGAGTAAGCAGCTTGATTTGGAGGTAGAGGTTGATGATGTCACAGAGCTGCTAGCATCTCATGGGGAGGAGTTATCTGCTGAGGACCTAATTCAGTTGGAGAGGCAGATGCTTGAGGAAGAGGAAGATATAGCAACCCGAGATCCCAAGAGATTTACAAGTAATGGCTTAGCTGAAGGTTTTGCCCTGATAGAAGAAGGGTTGGCCAAGTTTGAAGCTGAGGACTCCAACATTGCCAGGTACACTAAGGTTGCCAGAGGGGTTATGGATAGCCTGCAGTGTTACAGGGAGATTTGGGAGGAGAAGAGGAGGGAATCCTTCCAGACAAGCCTGGGACATTTCTTCAAGAAGGTAGAGAAGCCAGTATCTACAATAGATCCTGTACCCTCTACCTCAGCTTTATCTTCAGTACTGGTAAAAAATGTTATCTTATTTTTTACTGTATATATATGCATGTTTGTCATAAATGACCTTTGTTTATTGCGTTTTTATGTACCTTAAAGCATGTACATATTGAGTTTACCTATAAGAGATAAGGACATTTTTGTTAAACTATAAGTTGTTGAATTCCCAATAAAAAGAAAAACAAACTTGAGGGTTTGAAGTTCAAGGGGGGGGGCAATTCATCACCCACAAGACTGTTCAAATGATTTTGAACTTGGTTGAGACCAGAAAGTCAGGATTGGAGATGTGGAAGTGATGGCACCTTGACCTGTAGACTAATAAAACGCAGTCAGTTGGGGGTAGCAAAACAAGAGCAAGAGGAAAAATTAGTTCTTTATGTTAAACTTTCCGTCCCTTTTGCCTTCAATATGTCCTGTGAGTGTTGAATTTTCTAAGCCTACTTTCTTCATTGTGTGCTCTAAAAATTTCAACTGTCTCTTAATATTAAAAACTTTCTCTTCCCTACTGAGAGTTTTACATTATATCTGCTCATCAGATGGTTGGTTAAATTGAATTTATTAACAGAATACAAAGACTGCTTGCCTTAAATGTATTATCAACCAGAAATACACTTTGTTAGCCATTTTTTTCAAATCACTGTCTTTAATAATGGTGTTATACTTTTGACACTCCCATCCCATTGAACATGTTTCCCAAGCATTAAAATTTGGATTACAGCATTTAAATGGAAAATCCAAGAACTCTTATGTTTTCAATTAAGGAAATTATCATCAATAAAAAGTTATAATATTCTTTTTCACGTCCATTGTTTAGAGCAGTGCTTTGAAGGAAAGTGTAGAGTGTGGTTGTCTCGCCATACCACAGAGGTTCCAACAGTGACAATGGCTTGTGCAGCAGTTTTTGGCAAAGGACAACAGTCCCCAGATATGACATACTGAAATTGAAGTTGGTATGTGCAGCTAAATTTAAAAAGTAAACTTCAACCCTAATCTGTAACAGCTCAATGGTAGGAAGATTGGCTTGTAACATTCATTGCTTTCAAGACGAGGCTATTAACTGTGCAGAGTGTTAATTTAACATTCTGTCATGACCAGCCCAGCCTGAAATTTTCTCCAGACATGTTGAACGGTTGTACTCTTAATGAGGTTCCTTGTCTTGAATACCTATTAGGACTCTGACTCACTCCAGATCTCGAGTGAAACGCATACGATCCATCATTAAAGATGCTGGAAAAATGGTCAGTTCCTTGTGTCTCTCCAGAAAGTACCTACCCTGGTCCATTTTTGGAGGTCAAACATGGAGTATTGCTGCAATATCTGGGCTGGAGCTGCACAGTCCTCATTTCCGGCCTTGATGGAATTCAAAAACATTTACGCAGCTCTGTGGGTGATGCATTATTTAAAACTCTATAGCCCTTTTCCAAAAGACAAAATTTTTCCAGCTTATCACTCTTGTCATGGCAAATGTTCAGTTGAACTATATTCTTTAGTTCAATCAGTTCAGACCTTTACTGCTGGGACCCACCATGCCATACCACATACACAGGATCAAATCATTCTTCCTTTTGTATTTCATTAGTAAGCAGTCACTTCCACTAAACAGCCTCTTCCCAACAATTGCTACTTTCTGGAACAGTTTCCGAAGAGGATGCTTTCCCGATCACTACGTTCTTAACTAGGGACAGTTATCTATCCCACCTATCCTCCTAATCTGCATTTGTTTCCTCTTACCTCCATACAATAACCTCACTCAGCTACTCTCTACCTTGAGTGTCTCTTGAGTCTTATATTGGGTGAAAATTAAATTAAAAAAAAAAAAAAATCTTACTCTACAGTGAAGAAGCTTGGGGACTTCTGAAGTTTATCTATAAGTTATTCAGTCAACATTCACTTTCCAACAATGAAATCCGGGTTCAAATCTCACCATGGTCAATTTGTCATGGAGGTGAC